GTGTGTGTGTGTGTGTGTGTGTGTTTATGTATATAAATATCTTACAACTCAATAATTAAGAAGATAGAACACCCAATTTTTTTTAAATGGGGACAGAAGATTTGAACAGACACTTCAAAGAGGATATACAAATGGCAAATTAAAGCACATAAAAAGATGCTCAACATCCCCAGTCATCAGGGAAATAGAAAGTAAAGCCCCAGTGAAATAGCATTACATACCTATTGCCACAGCTAAAATTTGAAAGACTGACAATACCAAGAGTAGGCAAGGATGCTAAGCAACTAAAAAACTCATACATGGCTAATGGAAATGCAAAATGGTACAGCCAAAAAATAGTTTGGAGGGGACATCTGTAATACCTTCAACAATAAAGATAAATTTTAAAAAATAGTTTGGTAGTTTTTATAAAATTAAACACATGCTTATCATTTGATCCAGCAACATCCTCCTAGGTGTTAAAATGAAAAACATAGATCCACACAAAGACCTTCATGGAATGTTCATAGTAGCTTTATTTGTAATGGCCCCAAACTGGAAATGATTCAAATGTCCACTGACAAGTGAATCATTAAACAAACTGTAGTACAGTCATGCAGTGGAATACTACTCAGCGATGAAGAATAATAAGCTGGTAAATGCAACATGGATGAGTCCCAAGAGCATTGTACTAACTGAAAAATGTGAGACTCAGAAAACTGTTGTATTAGTCTGCCAGGGTTGTCTTAGCAAAATACCACAGACTGGGTGGCTTTAATAACAGAAATTTATTTCTCACAGTTCTGGAGGCTGGAAGTCCAAGATCAAGTGTTGGCAGAGTTGGTCTCTGGTAAGAGCTCTCTCTTCCTGGCTTGCTGACTCTGCCTTCTGGCTGTGTCCTCGCATGGTCCTTCCTCTGTGCATGTCCACCCCTGATGTCTCTTCCTCTTCTGTCCAATAGGACACCTGTCACATTGGATTAGGGCCCCACCCATAGGACCTTATTTAACCTTAATTATTTTGTTAAGGTCCTATCTCCAAACATAGTCATGTTCTAAGGTACCGGGTTAGGATTTCAATATGTGAATTATGGGGAACACCATTCAGTCCATAACAGCTGGCAGTGGTATAATTTCATTTATATGGTGCCAATTATGTGACATTCTAGAAAAGGAAAAACCATAGAGACAAAGCACAGGTTGGTGGTTGGCAGTGACTGGATGGGGGAAGTGAACTGCCTGCCAATGTTCCTGAAGGAACATTCTGGGGTCATGGGACTGTTCTGTCTTGATTGTTGGTGTCACATGGCTCTATACATTTGTCAAAACTCCTGAACATACATTTAAAAGGGGTAAATTTTATTGCATATAAATTATGCCTCAATAAACCTGACTTCCAAAAGACTGCATGATCTATTGAAAGTAAACTGTAATTAAAAATTGAAAATTATAATTGAAGAAAAAAAAAAACGACTACGTGATCAAGCAGTCTGACCCCCATCCCACCAAAAACGAGACCCCACATTTGGGTCCCACCCGGCCCACATGACCCCCAAATTGATCATTGTGATTTGCACTTTCCAGTGTGTCTTCTAGACGTTTTCTGCAAGTACCTCTGCAGTGGGGGCCCATTTAAAGGCACAGTTCCCAGGGGAAGGCCCTGTGTGCTACAAGCCCTTCCCCCTCTAACCCCGGATAATGATTTAGAATAAACTGCCTACTTTCCTGCCCCCCATCCAGACTAATGTTTCATCGTCAGAGTCCGTAAGCGTCTGAAGAAAGAGCTCTGCTTATCTCATCTCAGAGCATTTGTTCCCCTTCCTTTTACGGCAAGCGATGGCTGGATTCTCAGCAGTGGGGACACGCTGGCTGCCATCCTCAGCTGTGCTGACAGTGGGCACCACAGAAAACAAACCCTCACCCCAGGCTTCCTTGGCACCAGCTACCCTACCTGGTACGGAGACGGTCACTTCCCAGCAAGATCAGGGCAGCGCCCGCCCGGGGCATCCCTGCCGTCTGCAGGCCAGGTCCCAGGTGGCGGGGTGACATCCAGGGGACAGTGAACGGAAGCCTCCTTCGTCCCGATGCTCGGGGCAGCTAGCTCAGCCACCGCAAGGCGCCGCAGCCCACGGGGTCGCTTATTCTGCCAAGGGCCACGGGGGGCACATGCCAGAGAGCGCGACCGGCTCAGAAACCTGCCCGTCATAACCGGGCCTTCCAGGGCCCTTCCAGCGGGTTCCTCCGCTGTGTCTTTCCCGCGGCCACTGTTTGCGGGACTCTGAGACCAGAGGTGTGAGGAAGGGAAAGAAGACTGCAGATGTAAGTGCGCCGCAGCGCTTTCTTATTTCTTAGGGGTTGCACTGCGGCCTTAAAGAGCTTTTAAACTTATTTACACAGATTTCTTTAATCCTCTATCACCTATGGGCCCATAAAAATATAAATGTAAGGAAAATCCATTGCTTAGGGTGTTCCTTACATTGATTCGGAGTATTATTTTTCTGAATATATTTTATATCAAAGTCAAACTTTATAAATGCATTGGAATCTTTTTTATTAAATTTATTGAGGTGACATGGGTTAATAAGATATCGATTTTCAGTGTACAATTCTATGATACATCCCCTGTATATTGCATTAAGGCAAATTTTTTCTGCAAAGGGCCAGACAGCAAATAATTTAGGCTTCGCAGGCCACGTGCCCCACTCAACCCTGCTGCTGTGATGCTGAAGCAGCCACAGGCAGTGCTGAAATGAGCGGGCATGGGTGCGTTCAAAGCAATCTCAGTGGCCCCAGGAATTTGGATTTCATATCACTTTCATGTGCTAGGAAATATTCTTTTTCCTTTTTGTTTCTGTTTTTACTATTTAAAAATTTAAGAAACCTTATTTATTCACAGGCTATACAAAAACAGGCGGTGGGCCAGATTTGATCTGTGAGCCACAGTTTGCCAAACCCTGGTCCATGCCATTGTCTTTGAACAATCCATTCCACAGGTTTAGATATTGGGAAATATTCATCAGGAGAGACTGGGTTATGCCACAATAACAAAGAACCCAGTATCTCAGTGGCTTAAAATAACAAAGGTCTATTTCTCACTCATGCAAGGTGCCCTGAAGGTCAGGGCTACTTTCCAGGGCAGCTGCCCCCTGCAGTGACTCACCTTTACTCCTCCACGTGGACATGTGCCCCCTCAATACTGGCGAAGGTCAACAATGTGCAAAATCACCCACCAGCTCTTAAAGGATTTCCTCCAGAAGTGACCTGTGGCTTTTCATTGGCAAAACCAATTTATATGGCATGGTGGCTTTAGAATACATCTAAAAATTCCTTGATAGTCCCCCTTCCCTTGCAAGTGATCGAGACTTAGCCCCTTGCTGCTAACAGGTGGGCTGTGGCAGAGGGGTGCTTTGTGACTTGTGAGGCCAGGTGTCTAGTCTGTTCTGCAGCTATAACAAAATACCACAGACTCGATGGCTTATAAACAACAGAAATTTATTGCTCACACTTCTGGAGGCTGGAAGTCCAAGATCAGGATGCCAACATTGTGAACAGAGGGGGCCTCTTCTGGGTCACAGATTTTCTGTTGTATCCTCACAGGTTGGAAGGGGCTAGAGATCTCTCTGGGGTCTCTTTTATAAGGGCACTAATTCCATTCATGAGGGCTCCATCCTCATAGCTTAAGCACCTCTCAAGAGCCCTACCTACTAATATCATCACATCGGACATTAGAATTTTAATATATGAAGGGGGGGAAACATATTCAGACCATCATATAAAGGATACCTTCACCTGGTTCTTCTCTTTTTCTCTCTCAGCTCACTCTAGCGAAGGTTAGCCACCCTGTCATGAGGACATTCAGCACCCCCTTGAGAAGTCCATGTGTGCCAATGTCCATGTGTGCCAACGTCCACGTGGAAAGGAGCTAATTCACCAGCAACAACTTTCCAGCCAGGTCAGTGGATCCTCCAGCCCTAATCAAGCTTTTAGGTGATTCTAGCTCCTGAGCCTTCCAGCCGAGGTCCTAGCCATCTATGGCTATATCCTGTCTGAGCCTCCCCGCCCCACTCACCCCCCGAGTCTCATTTGAATTACTGACTCACAGAAACTGAGATAATAAATGATTATTTTTTTAAGCCTCTAAGTTTTTGGGGTAATTTGCTATCCATAAATAGACATGATGTAGAAGTCACTAGAATCTAAAAACATTGGGGGCCTTGTACCCCTATGTTCATTGCAGTGTTATTTACAACAGCCAAGATCTGGAAGCAGCCCACGTGCCTGTCAGCAGACGAGTGGATAGAAAAGCTGGGGGGCGCTTACACCATGGAATACTACTCGGCCATAAAAAAGAAGGAAACCTTACCTTTTGGGACAGCATGGATGGATCTGGAGAGTGTTATACTAAGTGAAATAAGCCAGTCAGAGAAAGACATGTACCATATGATTTCACCTATGTGTGGAATTCAATGAACAAAATAGAAATAGATTCATAGATACAGAAAACACATTGGCAGCTGTTAGAGTGGAGGGGGTTGGGAGCTTGGTAAAAAAAGATGAAGGAATTTAGCAAAAATAAAAGTGACAGACAGACAACAGCATGGTGATTACCATAAGGAAGGAGGGTGGAAGAGGCAGGAGAGGGTGAAGGGGGGATATATGGTGATGGAAGGAGACTTGACTTGGGGTGGTGAACACACCGTACAAAATACAGGTAATGTGTTATAGAAGTGTCCACCTGACACCTGTATAATTTTATTAACCAATGTCACCCCAATAAATTTAATAAGAATTTAAAAATTTTAAAAATAAAAGAATAACCTTTTTACCAGAAAAATAAAATAAATAAAAACAACGAGGAGAGAGGCCAAGGACGGGAGAGTGTACGCAAAGCGAAGGGTGAGAAAAGGCACTTTGCCACAAGCCAGGTGTCTGCACCTGGAGCAGAGGGAAGAAACAAGGCCCAAACGTCCCAAGCAATTTGTCCAGCTCTCGGTAATGATGAAATGATCACCCTGGGCCAAGTCGTGTACATGGCAACTCTTAAAGGGAAGATCCTGGCCTCCTAAGCTCCTGCAAGGCCTTTCTAAGGCTCAGCTTTTCTCATCTGTAAATCAGGAATATTAATACCTGCATTATAAAATTATTGTGAGGATTTAGCATAGTGTATATAAAATGGCTTGCATTGTGTCAGGAGCGTGATAGGTGCCCGATACATGGCATCTGTTTTCTTTGTTATCATCATAGTCAGTCGTCGTTGTTGTTACCTGTGAGTAAGGCTAAGTATTGTGATGGTGGATCTCATGGACTGGCTCGTTCAATGCTCATGTCATAAGCCTTTTGGGGTAACTACATTTCTCAGACTACTTTGCTCTTAGGGTCTGGATGTCAGGTATGTTCCACCAATTAGAGGCAATCATGTAAGAACTGGAAGATGGAATGTCTTCCTCTTGCTGTTTCTTTTGACAAACAAAATCACAGAGCTATGGGTGGCATGAGGCAGCAGGGGCCATGGTGGAAGCAGCTGCTTGGCCTCCAGATCACAGCTGCTTGGCCTCCAGGTCACAGCTGCTTGGCCTCCAGGTCACAGCTGCAGTGGTTGGCTAACATCAATCAGAAAGTCGGGTGGCTCTGACTTCCACTCCTCCAGCTCTTCCAGCGACTTTGTAAGCATCTAATTCCTGTATTAACTTGTCTCTGTTTAAAATACCTAGAGTGGTAATTCCTGTTCTTAGAAATGAATCCTGACTGATTCACAAACGGGTGTTTCATATAAAGAAATTTAATATGTAAACTTCTCTGAAAGAATTTATCTCATCCTGCTGCCTCAAACTTCCTTAGATTTAAACGAGTTAATTCTCATGTTTAAACCAGTTCAGTGTTCTCCTTATTGACGCCATTCTCTTCGAGCACTGCTGACATGACACAATTAAAGTTTTCTGGGATCCTGGACAGTTAATGCTGTATTTGATATCATACTAAAAGGCAGAATGTATTTTTGTGGCAATCATAATGCATCCATTCTATTTTTTTATACTTTATTTTATTGAGAAAATGATCCCTGAGATAGTTTTGCCTCCTGATATTCATTCGTCATTCCTTTCTTAGTATTAAGAATGCTAATTTTGAACTGGGCAGCTGGGGACACTACACCTGAGCTAAATAAAATTTATTCCCACTCTCCCTTAAAGCCAGGCATAAAGCCACATCACTAAATTCTGGCCAGCTATATGTAAAATAAACTGTTTTGTGTGACTTCTAGAAAATGTCTTCAGAAGGGGAGTACAGACCCTTCTTTGCCTCTTGCTTTTTCCTGTTGGCTGGAGTGAGGATGTGATGGTAGGAGCACTAACAGCCGTCTTGGGTCATGAGGCAGCATGCAAATTCTGTCAAAGGAAAAGAGAATGAGCCTCTTGCCTGCAGAGCTGCCACATTGGTCTGGATTGTCCAGATTTCTTTCACAGAAGAAAAAATCAATCTCTAACTTTTTAAAGCTACTGTTCTTTTGTTGTTGCTTTGTTATTATAAGTACCCAAACCTACCCCTGATTAACATAAGGCGAACAGCCAAACCTCTCCCTTTCATATCAGCCATGGACGACTTCTCTGTTTCTAAAAACAGGAGCATTCTCAAAAACTGCCCAACGACTGCAACACAGTCAGGCATGCTGCCAAAATGTTGACCTGGGTTTGGAATTAAAGACATAAATGATTTCACCGAGGACAAATCAGTATATGTAGCAGCGAAGCTTGTAAGTCAGATGAAACTTTGCCCTACGAATATTATCTTCAACATCAGATCAATGCGCCAATTTGAGGCCGAGTAAAAGCCAAGTCCTTAACCCTGGCCGATGGTCCACTGGGACTAGAGTATGTGACTCGAAGTGGCTGAGCTTCGTTCAAACCGGCCCTCCGCTGCTCATCCTGCGACGGCGCCACGGCCGACAGAACATCCAATAACACAGCCTGCTCTGCAGCTCTCTATTCCAGAGCCCGTAGATTAGAGGGTTAACACACTGGGCAAACGCAAAGACTCCAAAAAGCACCAGATTTAACGTAAAGAAAAACACTCCGCACATCTTTCCCAAACCTATGAATATCAGGGTTGGTATTACATGTAAGCTCAGCTGCACTAAATGAATGAGGATGGTTTTCCTTGCTTTGATATTTGACCTATTAAAATGGCCAGCACGTTTGCCTTCTTGATATATTAGAGAGTAACTTATAAGAATGACCAATAAAGGAAGGAGAAAGAAAATCATACCAATGACTCTGGCAGAAGTGCCATTCAGAACCACGGGGCAGAGGGGCTCGGATTTTAAGACAGCGACCGGAGTGGGGATAGTGCCCTCCATGGCGAACAGGCCAACATTCTTGAGGACAATGGTTATCCAGGTCCCAGCCAGAACCCTATACTTCGTGGCATTGACAAAGGACAGAGATTTCAACGGCCAGCAAATGGCCAGGTAAGTGTTGACAGCCATCAAGGCCAGAGTAAACAGGATCCCTTCCCCAAAACTTATCTGGGCCCCGAACACCAGCCAGCACATCAGCACAGGGCTGTTGGCCAGCAGAGCCCGCATCCCTTGGAAAACCACCCCCAGGCCGCAGTAGGAGGAGATGCACAGCAGATGGTGGCAGAGGAAGACGTAGCGGACCTCTTTCCTCAGCTTCGAATCCTGCCACACGACTGCCACGATGACGGTCGTGATGAGCGTGGCGAAGGAGAAAGTGACCACGTACACAGAGGCCTTCACCGTCGCTTCGAGCCTCAGCCAATCCGAGATGTTGCAGCGCTCAGAAGACGAGTTCATGATCTTCAGGGCAGCTTGGCTTCTGGGGAGAGAAGAGCAAGGGGCGTCTGTCTCAAAGCCCCTCGAGGTTTCCCAGCTCTGGCCTCGTGCACGGTCTCAGGAGCAGACCGCGTGTTTGTCAGTATAGCGGGTAACAGTTTTAGATCGTTGGACAGGGACCGAAGAAACAGGAGAAATCATCTGGGGTCTTCTCTTTATTTCGGGGGAGGGGCATACACTCAAATCACCTAAAAGGAAGATTTGAAAGACACTCTCCATACTCATCAAATTGCACAAAATGAGGTCAAGGTCCTACTCCCTAGGCACCCCCTTCCATCTCTGATTGTGAGAACTTTTAAAATTCGAAGCACAAAATTGTAAACGTCAATCAATGAACCAACAAGCCCTTGTTAACACTTAGCGCTTGCAAAGGTCTGGGCAGGAGCTGTGAGGAAGGCGGAGAAGTGGCTGATGTGGAGACTTAACTTCCTCTGGGTCCGTAAGACAAAAGAGGGAGATTAACAGTAGTGATGACAATGGGGGGGGGGTATTTACTGAGCACTTTCTAGGGATCAAATCTGTGCTCAGAGCATATTCCTCCCAAGCCCTGGAGGATGCTTTCTTTTCCACCATGTGGTTTTATTACATGCTTTTCACAAATGAGGAAACGGGGGCTTGGAGGGGCTCAGTAACCTGCTCCAGGCTGGCTGTGGGATTGTTGCCTGGTTGGGGCCAGCGTTTTAATTTGGAAGAACTCCAGAGCCCACTCACTCACCCACTACAGGGAGGTTTATGCCTAACGCGAGGCCAAATGAAAGCATTCCCTGAGTCTCCTTTGGCCAATATCATTGGACTGGACAATTGGAGCCCATTTGTAGGAATGTTTTTTCTATTATGAAGAAGCTGGAAGACTGAACATCTAGGAAGGTGCTGGTGTCTCAGGATTGCTGATGGACTGTGACCACTAGAATGGAAAGATGTGTGTGGCAGCCTCTAAAGTCCTCTCAAGCGTGCAGAGCAATGAATGGTGCACTGTGTGGCAGCCCGGGGAACTCCAAATCACAGTACCTCTGCTGTCTCTGTGGAAGTCTACTGTCGAGAAATCAACTGTTGCCTCCCCACACGCACCTCATCCAAGGTCAGGAGCCCACCACGGCCTTGCTGCCTGCTTCCTTATGACCTGTGGGATCACCTCCTCCCCCCTCAAAGCTGACTGGACCTGGGGTAGAGATCTGACTTAGAGAAAATCATTCTGTAGATTACGCTGAGCTCATGTCTGTCTCTTAAAAATTCGACCTCAGGGTTTTCACATATGGAGTCCAAGTGTGATGTCATACAAGCGACCTGCCAGTCATTTCGGAGTGTAGATGAGCGGAAGAAAGAGGCAGAGAGAGGTAGGAGAGAAGCGCAGACAAGGGGAACCATGCAGCCCCTGAGGCCACAGAAGCCCTTTCAAGACAAAGAGAACAACCTTGGCTCCTGAACTTCTGAGTCCACCCAGATGCTCTGCATTTTCTGTCCTTTGGTTCTGAAAACATAACACACCCATCTATGACTTGAGCTAGCTTAAATGGGTTTCTATTTCTTTATTCTGGCCCCTAGAGTTCAAAGTATATAAAATGGACCCCAAAGCGGTACACTAAATTTTATTGATTTCCTAAAGGTCATATCACAATGGAGACACAACTATTGCAACTTCTTGAGAACCTAAAATGTCACAGCTCCTTACAAAATCCCTTGCTGAAGGCATACATCCCCCCCTCCCCCCCCTGCGTACTGTGTTGTCACCCTTTGTGGAGAGTTTTCCCTGTTCTGATGGATTTTTTTTTTTTTTTTTTTTTTTTCCTTT